CAGGCTCTCTATCCCTGCTTTCCCTTCTGTAGGCACGTAACGGACAGTCAGTGGGCAATTCGAAAATTCTCTCATGACTTGTTCTCTCCTGGCTCTGGCTTTTCACCTCCCCTTGCTGGGGTAACTGCAGTCTCAGACTGTTTCCTCGGGGTAGTGCTGTGCAAAGCACTGCAGGCAAGCAGTGTCCTAGGGAACACACCAGCAGGGATTAGCTAGTGACAAAGCAGGGCTGGACACAGGCATGGTCAAAAAGGGCCTGATGGACAGCAGGAACTGCCGTGGCTGTACGGCTCTTTCCCAGGCTGCAATGATCTGGCAAATGCTGACTCTGGTACAAAGTATTGATGGTGATGCTCACTGAGGAAGGAGCACAAAGGATAGAAATTGCTCCTGGTGCTGGCTCAGAGGGTCTGCAAACTTCTACAGCACAGGCATCAGACCTGCTCGAGCCTCTGCGTAACCATCACTAGAAGCTGATAAATGGGTTGAGGACTTTGCTTCACACTACTGTAACTTTCAGTCCCACCACCTTCCTAAACTCAAACTGGTTTGCAACAGAGCAACAGGAGTAAAGAACTGCTGATTTCCAACAGGTGAAGGCAACTGCTACCTTGATGGAGAGTGGGACCCTAATCCAGGTGTCAGCTCCAATGTTTCACAGCTGTTGTCATCCTAAAATTCTGCTTCTGCTTGTAACCCTGTTGCAAAGCTCTGCTGGTGGCCTGTGCTAATGGGAAGTTTCAGCCCGATGGCAGTGGTTAGCAGCTCCCAAGTGTCCTTGGTGGGCACCCTGAGGAGGCTGGATGGAGATCAGCAACACCACCATCATCAGCACTGTGTCCCTGATTTGTCTGCTCCCATGCAGTTGTGCAGGGAGGACTTGAAGCATCATGTTGCTGCCTGCAAGAGAGATGCCACAGCAGACCTTTCTCCTGGGGAAGTGCTTCCAGGGACAGCAGAAGCCTGGGCTCTCCAAGGTAAGTGGAAACATATTTGCAGTACAATGGGCCTGCTATTTCTACTGCCCACTGAGTAAGCAAATGATTCAGTCTAGGATGCTGCTGGCTCATACCAGGAAAAAAAATCACTCCTGTATGTCTTGGGCTTTTTTCATACTGACCATGTGCAATCTCACCAGTATAACCATGCCCTGCACTGGCTCAAACCCACTCCACTGCTTAAGCCAGAAGTGCTCTGGTATATATGGTTAACTGAGCCTCAATGATATTCTAATTACAAGTATTTGTTATCTCACTATTAGCTTTAGCAAAGGTAGAGAAAAAAAGGCATCTTCTCTAACACTGCCTTTCCCTAAAGGAGGATGTAGTAATGAAAGAAAAAAAAAAGGTTTTGCAATGTTGAAAACTGAAGGTTAAAATAGGTCTGGAGGTTTTTTTGGTTTGGTTTGTAGAATGAGTCACACGTGTGCTTTTATGAGATCCCTGAGGGACAGGCATGTGAATTCAGTGGCTGTTCTGTTCTTCCAGTGCCGATTCAGATGTTGCAATTCACCTGTCACATCTCAGCATGATCTTCCATACGCAGCAATCCTTTCTCATCACACATTGTGCCATTATGAGCCTTGTGGTACCTTCTGTTTAACCAGGAAGGTAAGGTGAAGGTCTAATGGGGCTCTCCTGCTCCTCTCCAGCTCTAACAGAAGTGACCACCCTAGCACCAAGCACGGGGTAGAAACATAGCTGCTCCCAGCATGTTCCCATCTGGGTTGTACCCTCACCACCTTCTGCCTGTCACTAGGTGTTAAACAGCATCTAGAATCAGCCCCTACTCTATCAGTGTAAAGCAACACCTCTGCGGGCTATATCTATACCTACACCCACAGCTCTACAGCAAAGGAAGTCAAGCAACCCTCCACTTCAATCACCAATAATACAAACAGCCCTCCAGAAGGAAGAGGGGGTGCAAGGGCGGGTTTTCCTCCGAGCCCTGCTAGAAGAATTTCCTAGAAACTTCTCCAAATCCTCTGCAAGGTCTCTAGTCCCCTCTCTGGGCAGCCCTGGGCTATCTGAGATGATGTCCTGCCTCTTGCTCACCTCGCTGAGCCTCTCTCTTGCCTGTGCTCCAGGCAGGGGCAGGAAGGCTGCTTGGCTCTGACTCTCCAGCAAGAAAATTATTAGGCTTAAATGCCTCGACAGCTAGGTTAACTACTTCTGTAAAACACTCCCTGTCATTTCAAATTGCCTTGGGATGTTTGTAGCCCTTGTCTCAAAGTGATTTGGTGATGCTGTCACACACCACTGGGCTCTTGGGTTCTATCCCAACATTGGTTTGTGTTTGCACAGGGATGCCTTGCAAATGCACCTCCCTCCAGGTAAGTTTCTGCTTTGTGACTACAGCAGCTGCAGTTTTTCAAGTTAAATTTCTCTCATCTCTTTGCCTGTGATCCTTTATTTATTTTCTATTCCTCGTTCTTTCCCAAAGCTGTCCCCATTGGAAGGTTTGAGTTCACTCAACTAAGTTGAGTAATTGAATTTAAGTACCTTTGTGTTCTTACAGTGCTCAGGTAATATTTTGAATAAGGAAAGTGTTTGGTTGTTTCTACAAGGTCAAGTGGGGATGCTTTTTTTTTTTTTTCTCTAGCAACATGACTGGCAAATCACTTTGATTTTACTAGCTGAGGGGATAAACTTCCTCCATGAATCCCCTCTCATTCCTTTTCCCTTTTCTCAGTATTTTCCATGTATTTGCACTGTTCTAGCTAAGGTCAGACACAAAGACAACTCCATGTCACTTAGCTGATTTAACCTGTCACAGGCATTTGTCATACTACCCGTTCTACATCACAGATTTGTCATCTCATCCAGACCTTCCCGATGCCCCACAGCTGTAAGAAAAACATGAAACTTGGTGTGAGGGCTTTGGCCCCACTTACTGGTGGTACTCCATGGGAAATCTCTTCCTGTTGCCTTTAGGTAGGATGTTTTCCTTAGGTTTCTCTTCGCAGGATCAAAGTTATCCCCTAAGAATGTATACAGTATGGTTGCAGAGGCACAGTGAGGTCCAAGGAAAGTCAGACAGGACTGTGCAGTGAGGCTACTGGAAAACTGGGAATTCAGCTCAGGTATCCTCAATCTGAAGAAGTTGTCTGATCTATGCTCTGTTGGGATTGCTTCCTGCCGTCCTTTGAAATCTCAGATAAACAAAAAATAAAGGCATATACTCCTAAACTTCCCCCTTTGTAAATTGATTTAAAAAAATAATTCCCTCTTTACTTAAGCCTGAGTTTGGTTTGTTTCACATGCTTTGCTTTTACTGCGCTTATCTTTATCACAGGAACAGGGAATGCAAGAGCCCTAAACCATTGTCCAGTGTTGTCAGGCCCCTGTCAGCCCAGGGTGTCTATGGCAATGACGAGCATGTCATTGTAGCTACCCAGGGCACATTGTCACGCCAAATAGTGCTCTTAACGTGCATTAAAGCAAGTCAATAAAAAGGGGAAATTATTTTAAGCTTTTCAGAGTGTTAATTACTTATACTCCCTCAAAGGGATTTGAGACTATAAATATTTTTTTACAACTCTTATTCTTTTTTCTTAAAATACTGGACAACGCTGTGCAATATGCTTCCCCCTCTCCCTGAGCTGAATAAAATACTGAATCAAATAAAGCAGTCAGCTCTATCCTCCCTCCCTAGCAAGAGTTCATCTTCTGGTCTTTGGGATTTCAGCATCCTTTGCCAAACAAATGGGATGGGTGAGGAAAACTACACATCAAGTGAAGAAGAATTCTGCATTTTTAGCTGTTTACAAAATTGCTGTTTCATGGTCAAGTGAAAAGCTTTCCTTCCCACAACTCAAGGAGCCTAGTTACTGCAAGTGTGATGGGCGCCTGGATGGGAGCTTGAGCTGGTTTCCATCAACTCTCCAGTACCACCAGTAACAGTGCACTGTCACCAGCTACCACTGCTGCGCATCGCGAGTGCCTTTTCTGTGCTACAAATGAGAGGATACATCCGCTTTCTCTGTGTTTGTTCCATCACACTGAAGCAAAGTGGCACGTGGTTATTTGCAGTTATTAGCTGATTATTTTGCCACGTGTAAGGATTACAAGGAAAAGCAATTAGGTTGTTTGGGATTCGGTTACCACTGAAGGGAGGCTCAGGCTGTGTGACGGCAGGATAAGGGCAGCGCTGTAGAAATCCCATGCTGAGCTGAGCCCATCACGCTGCTCACTCCACAAGGCAGCAACCTCCCTCAGCTGGATGCATTTTGAGTAGCACAGGAGCTGGTGAGCTCAGCACTTTGCCCTCTTCTGGGTATGTGTCCAGATCAATTTGCTGGGAGAAGCACCATGAAATCCATGTGCTGGAGATGTTCATCCCTGCCCAGACAAACCCAGTGGTGACCACATTCAGTGTTGCAATCCCTTGTGCTGAAAGCTGCTCTGAGAAACCTCTCCCAGGGTTGGGAACTCTGGCTGCTCATGCAGGACAGGACTTTCCCCATGTCCTTCTCAGACATTAGTATTTCCCATACATCACTCCCCACATTGTTTTAGTTCAAACACAAAACCACACCCATGCCTCTTAAATAATGAACTCTACAAACTCCCTGGAGATGCTTCAAAATGGTACCCTGCTCATCATTCATGAGGATGGGGAGGTGGTAGCTGAGATAAAGAGCTGCTGGTGCCTCACTGGACTGGTACTGCTGGAGGGAGTGAGTCTTTCAGGAATAGCAAGCTTAAAGTCATTGTCTTAAAGTGTAGCCTTCAAGGATAGTGGCCAGAGGAACCCACCTGGAGCACGAAAGCTGTAAAGCACATCAGTATTTGTTGGTTGGCTTTGATGCATCTGTGTGTTTCATTTAGCTGTAGAAACTCAATTTGCTAAGGAAATTATTGACATCAGTATCTACATTATATAAGCTTTTTTCTTGTTTGATTTTTTATTTTTTCATTCTTCCAGCTGTGGAGGAGGACCAAAAGCAGCAAATCAGTGCTTATGAGACCTTTGATGAGCCTAGAGGTTGCACTTCCTCATCAACCCTCCTCTTTGTAGACGTTGTTCATGTGAGTGCAGATTTCATTGGTCACCTTCTCAAAGGAAGCTTTGCAGTCTCCTCCATCAGTTGAAAGATAATGTCATAGATAACCTAAACAAGGAGAAGGGAAGAAACAACCAGTGTGAACTTGCCCCACATTAGAAGCACAAGAACAAACAGAAAGGGGTACAAGAACAAGCCTGCAGCATATAGCGTGCAGAGCTTGTAACAGGTCATGGAAAATCAGGTACATTATAGAATTTGCCAAAAAATACAGTCACTGTATACAGTCACTGCTGCTGGTTTTTTTTTTATTGTCCTGTATCTAGTTAATGCTGGCTGAACCCATCACTTAAAGACAGCTGTACAGGACCAGTTCACTTGGTACATCTACTGCAGCTCTTCTCCTGGCAGTGGACTGTCCAAAATGTTCAGAGGCCACAAGGAGCCCCATGTTGGGCACCTATGGAATACATGGTGTGGGGGGTAAGTTTCTTCCTAATCTTTCCTGCTCATTAGCTATCTATCACTCTGCAGCAATGAGGATTTGTTTGTCTTTGCGGTTGCTAGGTAGGTGGTATACTTTGAAATGTCAACTCCTTTTCTGTGCAGCATTTATTATTTTGTGTGCAGCTTTACCCTGACAAAGTCTTTTCAGAGCCTCTCCCAGCAGAAATTCTCACCTATTGAAAATTGGGGCCAGTGCTTTGAAAACCACCTTCCTGGCGCCTGAGTGACCCTTACCAGAATGTGCCTGGTTTTGCATTTTGTGTTGTGTAAGGCAGACAAAATAGTAATAAATGCACTCTGCTAGTGACCTTAGGTGGACTTGGGCAAGTCGCTTGTTCCCATGTCTCTTACCTGTGTTTGTTCAGTGATGGCAATGCTGTTGCCATTGTTGCTGGATAACAGCTGGTTTAGTTGTCCTATAAAAGCTCAGTTCCTGTTACTAGAGAAAAACAGACATCAAGAACTAAAGTGCAGTGTTAAGCTTCTTTTCTGTGTCTTGTTATTAAATGACAAGCATGGGAATCCTGTTGCACTGAGAAAACCCACTACAACTCATGGGCAGCTCTGCAGCTCCCACCCAAGCAGACCTGCCTGCATTGCATCTGCTGCACAGCCTTCTTCCCAACAGATGCCAGATTCATGCTACCTTCCACCACCAGCCATCTCACCTTCCACCATCTCCACTCTCTGAAGCATATATGTATTTATATATACAAAGCCTGTTTTCCTCAGTTCTACCCCTCAAAGGGGAAGACATCCTCCCATCACAATTACACCCCCTGGGAAGAGGACTGCTGGCTCACCCTAAAGTTTTTGGGGTCAGTCTTTAGCTGGGTGCCATGTTTCTTGCTGAGTGGGTTAGCTATCCCAAGAAAAGCCTCAGAGTTGTCCAGGTGTTGCACCATGTCATTGATGGCAGTGAAAACCCTCTTGCCATGGCCCCTGACCTGATCCGACTGTTTCTGTCTTCTTTGCATCCTCCCTTCAGATATTCATATCGATAAGATCCCCCCTGAGCCTTCTCTTCTCTGGGCTGAACAGTCCCAGCTCTCTCAGCCTCTCCTCCTAAGAGAGGAGCTCCAGTCCCTTCATCATCTTTGTGGCCCTTCACTGTACTCTTCCCAGTATGTCCATGTCTTTCTTGTATGGGGGAGCCCAGAACTTCTCTAAAAGCAGGGCTGGGGCTGTAGGACACTAAGGCAAAACCCTCTAGAATAAATCACCCCGGGGAGCCAAGCCACTGGATACTACTAGCATTTTATAGCTGCATTTCTGAGCCTAACTGTCCTCGGGTTGTGTAGACTGCAGAAGGAAAGAGCAGTACATAACACATTTTGAGGCTGATCCAGGCACAAGATTTTATATACAGGAAAGCCAGAGGGAGTGGTAAAGATATGATAAGCAGGAAATAGCATTTAGACCAACCCGTGTATATGGAGGTGATCAAAGTCTCAGCTGAGGGAGGGATATGTGAAAGGTGAATAGAAGAAACTTCTGTCTTGTGGAAGAGTTGAGGAAAACAGACTGAAAACTAAGAGAGGAAAGCCCACAGGAAGGGTACAATACAATGAAACAGGTGGATTCTGGACTGGAAAGGCTAAAGGAGAATCAGAAAAGAAATATTCAGGACATGCAAATTAAAAAATCATTAAAGGAGTTTAGAGGTCAAGGGGAAGAGGGAAATAGGGCCTATGTTTTGTTCCCATTCGCTTTCATACCACGCTTTCTTTCCTTTACCTTCATGAGTGGAGTGAAGGAACGAGGAAATTTTTGTTTGCAGCAGTTCACAAACAAACCTCAGCTTCCCTAGTGGACTTCTCCTCTTCTCTCCCCAATCTCTTCTGAGACACTGGTGTACAAAGGTGCTCTTTCACTCGGTATATTGTCAGACATCCTGTCATGGATGGCCAAAAAATGCCCATTCTGAGTTGGGAAATTTCAATCAAATTAATTTATTGCCAAGTAACAAACCAACTAACACTTAGGCACCTCTGTTTCTCCCCATCCTGGTCTGTGCTGCAGGTTACACCCAGGTCCTTTGGTGAGACCATGGGCAGTGGAGGACCGGGGGGCTGGTGTGTGAGGGTCCTTTTTCTCTTGCTGCTCCTTGTGTCCTACTCAACTGCTCCAGCATGGGCTCTTCCACCAGTCACTGTCCCTGTGGGTGCTATACCTGCCCTGGCCTTGTCTCTCCTTCTTCAGCGTTCACTGCCCTTTCTTAAACATGTTTCCACAGAGGCACCATAAACTCATCCGGCTGGTCCAGTTTTGGGGTGCAATGGGTCAATTTTGTCTAGTGCTGGGCCAGCTGTGAGCAGCACAGGGCAGTCCCTGACGTCCTCCTGCACAGACAAAGCAAACAATGAGTCCCTCAAGCATGTCACCATGCTCTCTGACATGCTTTTCTGTTCTCTCCTATCACCTTCTGGTGTTACTTGTACTGTTTTAGAAAACTGTCTTCCATACTCCCCTTGCATAATTTGCCAAGTCCTTGTAAAATGAACACAGTCATACCTGATAAAGTTCTGACACCTCTAACAGCGTTATACAGATCCAAACCACACATCAGCAGTCCTAGAGATTGAAACAAAAAAGCTCCAGAAGCCTATTTTTTTGGCCTTGAAATGGAACAGCTGTGAAAAACGTGCTGTTTAATTGTAAAGTCATCATGTGGTTGCCAACTCACCCCCCCACCCCAGGGGAAGAGGATGTGCGCTTGGTTTCTTTTGGTTTCCTTTCCCATAGTTTGTTTTGTTTAATATCCCGAAGGAAGTGAATGCTCTTAAGTGTAATTTCTGCTGAATGGGGAGAAATATTTTCTTATGGGGGTGCTGGGCAACACTAGAGAGACAGCCTTGGCCAGACAGGGTCAGGCTGGGGGACAGAGGGCACTGGAAAATCCCCAGCAGGGAGCACAGCCACGTCATGCCATTCTGGGCTGCGAGTGGTGGCCAAGCCGTTCCTGTCCCTCACCAGACAGTGAGGCAGAGGACATGCCTCCTGCTGCGGTGCAGGGAAAGGGTGGCAGTTGTGTGAAGTGAGGGTTGTTTCTTTCTATTTCCGAGAAATCACGTCCTTTAGGCAGAAGGCAGCTGGCAAGCTCCGGCAACAGAAATGGACAATGGACGGCATCTCCTACCCACCCAGCCATTTAGGATCTGGCAGCAATGATTGCCTGCAGAGGTCACTGACGCACTGGTCACAGGCACTACAAAGCTGCCCGTGTTTTCTTCTCCATGAAAGTTCAAAATCTGTTATTTAAGTTTCATGTTTAATATATAACCCTATTTATTATGCAACAGGGGTTAATCCCCAGCTCATCAGATACACCTGTTGTAGAGGATGGCTGGGAGGGGCTCGTCAGCTCTAACTTTTATTTTCCCAACACCCCCTGTAGTGTCAGACTGAGGTTAGAGACCCCCATAGCAGGTATTGCCACGTTTCTCAGATGCTTAGCTTGGGATGCTGACACCCGGTGCTGCTTTTACAGAGATGACAAACACCTGCATCTGCTCCATGCTCAGTATCTGAGGTAATCAATGTTATCAGCTCATCAAACCCAGCAAAATTAGGAGTTGCAATCATTACTGTTGGTGTCAGTACCTGAACGCCAAAGCCCACATAACACATGGGTGGGAAAGACCTGGGGCAGATGCACGCAGCTTTCCCAGCTAACACCAGACTGCACTTCTCTCTCCTGTTCAGAGACCAGTAGTGTGCTTGAGTGGACCTGTGTTGCACTTTGCACTGGTAAAAGTACCAAGTCTAGAGGGTAAGAAGAAAGCAGGAGTACTCAGCTTCTTGAGACCTACCACCTAGAATGGCCCTTGCATAGTTTACAGAGAAGTACTGTCTGACACAATAGAAATGTACACAGGTTCCTGTTGTGAATACTTTTATTGTGTGCAGAAGGCTTTAATGTGAGAACAAAGGTGATGTATTCAAAATAATTCAGATTTTTATACAACATAAGGCATAGTATATATAGAGATTAATCCTCTGAATGCCGCTTTAATGATTGACAGCATTAAGTACATGGCTAACAGTGATTCTAACACAATCATTACAACTAATAAAGATGCCAGTGCTGAGTTTTCATACAGTGTATTCAGCTAACCAAATATTTGCACTGAGACAGGCTGGGGGTCAGCAGGGGAAACTCCACACCACAGTGAAGGGGAAAAAAAGTACCAAAAATACCCAACAAGTGATGCAAAGGTGGTCACCAGATCGCACTACCAGACTGATGCCCAGCCAGTCTCCTAGCAATAGCTGCTTTGGAGAATCTCATCCCAGTTTTATTTCTGAGCATAAGGTTATAGGGTATGGAACATCTTGGTCAGCTGGGGTCAGCTGTGCTGGCTATGCCCTCTCCTAGTCCCTTGCTCCCCCCACCAGCCTCCTTGCTGCAGGGGCAGATTGAGAAACAGAGATGGCCTTGCCAGTGTGCAAGCCCTGTTCAGCTATTGCTAAAACCCTGCTGGTCTATCAACATTATTTTGGTCATAAATCATGCTGCAGCATAAGGGTGGCTATGAAGAAAGTCCACCCCAGCCAGACCCAGTACGCTACAGGATCACATCCTTTTCTGGGACAAATTCCGGCTCACGCAGGCCACGCTGTGCTGAACCTGTGCACAGATGCTGTGGGCAGGAGGCAAAGAAATGAGCCTTGATGGACACGGAAAATACCAAGCCCAAGTCAGAGAGGTAGAGAATACCCACGGCTGGACAGAGGGACTCAGGCAGCAGCATAAGCACTATTCATATCTGTAATGTTACAATCTGTCATCTTTTTCTGCTCAGTTAATGAGATCAAACCACCCAGTCATTTAATGGAAACATCACTCCCACAGATTTTTTTTCATACAAGCCCCCAGAATACATTGAGTTACTGCTTCACAGAGTGTCTTGACTGGGACAAGAATGCTTTAATTGCACACAATCTATATAAGTGATGTTCTGAAGACAACTCAAATCCATTCAATTTCACCCTTGGCAGAGTTAAACCTGGACTCCAGATAAAGAAACTTGATATCAGATGAAGAGACGATGTAGCTGAAAGAATATATCAGGCTAAGAGAAATAGTTACGGGATGGTATATGTGTAAGTTATACGGTCCAGAAGCTTTGTATCAAACACAGGTATAGTACAGATTATTATATTGGTGGTATGGATGATAGTGTTCAGAGATGCAACGGGGTTAAGCTAGAAGGGCAAGAGATAAAGCAGCAGGTAAACCTGCTGTCACATACAAAAGAAAGAGAGATGTCAGACTGAAAGGGTGGTAGGTGAGGAATGGAGGGAATCAGAGAATCAGACTAGCGAACTATTCACCTGTGTGAGCAGAAAGCTGGATGATGGATTTTACGGTCCATTTGCCTTCTCTATTGTAGTAGTTACTGCCTCCCACTAAAGCCACGCTCTCCTTTGGGTTATTATCCTTGCTGCTCGATGTACTGAGCATTTACACAGCTAAAAAATCTATTGTAACTGCCTGACTTTGCTGGGATGTAACATCAGTACATGTGGCTTTAAATTCAGTGAGCCCAAATTTAATATCCAGCTTCAGTTCACGTTTCCTCCCCAGCTTTGTGTCCGGTGTTTGCACTGTACAGGAGCCAAGCCATTCCATCCCTTCTTCATCTACATACTTAGCACCCTGCTTTTCTGTACAATAGAAAGCAAAGCATATCTGTGTCTGATCTGGCTCTATTGGATGGAAAATATATTGGGCAACTTCATTTATATTCACTGACTCGCCAATTCCCACCAATTTTTTGAAGAGATCTACGCAATAAACATAGCCATCAGCTTTTGAGACCCTTCGTTTATTTACATCATGGATAGCAGCATCAAATGCATTACTTACTGCTATGCCATATGTCCGAGCGCTGACTCTTGAGGCAACAATGTGTGGATTGACACCAAATAAAACAGCCCCTTTTGCAATGGCCACTTGGGCCTCCATTGGGCA